CTGTGCACGATGATCTTCGACGGCTTCTCCTGGATTTTCCAGTAGTGGCTCTCGTGTCGCAGTCTCTCGATCTCGCGCTGGAGCTCGTACATCTTGCGTAGATGGTCTTGTTGCATGCGGCGGATGTCACGTTCTAGTTCATCTGCAACAAAAGAAGCAAATCATAAGTCAAGTGACCACAAAAAAATATTTTAAGATATATTTTGCAGAAGAACATTTACTGAACTTGAAAGGTGGCATGACAAGCAAGATTTGTGTACTCTGTGAAAAGGGGTGGTAGTGGGCTTTGGGTGGTGGTGGTGGTGGGGGGGGGGAGGAGAGGGCATGGAGTGAGGGACTGCACCCTCTTCTGTTAGTTGAATTGTTTGTTTCTTGTTTTTAGTAAGTGTTTAACCATGCTTGCAACTGCATAAGGTCATATGAGCACGCAAGACACATTAAACATTTATAATTTGGTTGGAATTTATTTTGAATTTTGGCGAGTGGCGGTTGAAGGCTCCTCATATGTGTTATTGCCAACTTGCACACGGGACCTCCGGGATTATTTGCCCTTATCCGAGACGGCTAGGTATTAGATCTTACCTAATCTAAAATCAGGGGTAAATTTTCCGTTGCTGTCAAGTTTCAAACCCTGGACCTATTATTGAATGTGAGGCAAACACTGTAAACTCTTGACCAGGAGAGCCCCCCTTAGCTGAAATGATTTGTAGTCTCCAGCAAGTGAGTACCATGCAGTCTGAAGCTAAACCAAATCCAGAAACTGATAAAAGATCAGACATACCGGGTAACGTGCATTTCACATCTTTAAAAAAAAAAAGTATATATATATATAATATATAATATATATACAACTAGAAAATAAAAACAGTCTGCTCATTTCATTTTAAACAATGTTAGAAAAAGAGTAATGTTGAAAAGAAGTAGAAGGAACAGACCACCATTCCATATATTGCATCCACTAGCCAGCAGTAAGTTACAAGGTAAGTCGATTTTAAAGGGGGGCTCTCGTGGCCTAAAGGTTAAGGTGTTCACCTCTCCTTCAAAGGTCCCTGGTTCGAATCCAGGTAATGGGTAACGAAGGGAACAATTTTCTTCTCTAAAATTGTCTCCTTTCACCTCCTTTCCTGCTCTCTAGAAATATTCTGTTGTTTGCTTTCGTCTCCACTTTCTCTTTGCAGCCTTTCCACTGCTTCTCCTTGGCTCCTTCTCACTGCTGTCTTTCAGCCACACCCCTGATCTTCTGGTAGAAAAGATCTAAACCTAGTCTTCTCGGACAAGGGTGAAAAATTTTGGAGATCTAGTACGCAAGTTGCGCACGTTAAAGACGGCTTGGTGGTCAAAGTTGATAAAAATAGGCTTCGGCCGCCACCTGGGCAAAAATCAAAATTTCCTACCAACTGAAAATGTTAGGTGTGTCCCGCACGCTCATATGACCTTATGCAGTTGCGAGCGCTGTAAAACACCCCCCAAAAAAGAAGAAAGATTTTACAGGAGTATTCCAGACAGAACATAACTGGAGTATGTGGCAGATAAAAAATATGCACTTCCAGAGGGAAATATAATGTGCATAAATATATGGCCTGGGATTTACATTTATATATGACATCAGTTTACATTGCATAAACTGAAACTGTATGGATGACAAATAACTCAAACTATTTTTTTTTCAGGTAATAATAATAATAGTTAGCATTTTTATAGCGCATATCCCCGCTCAACAGCAGGCTCTATGCGCTTTACACTCTATTATCACCCCAGCAGACCATAGAACACTCCGAAACATTCTCAGCTTCTCGGGAAGCATACAGAGCAAGCAGCCGATTAAGCGCTCAAACACTAACAAACTGACAAGATCTTTTGCTGTCTATAGCCGGGTACCCATTCCCACCTGGGTGAAGTGAGGAAAATTCGTGCGGGATTCGAACCCACGACCTTACGGTTGCGAGTCCGAGAGCCTAACCACTAGGCCACCGACGCCACATATTATACCACACTAACGTAATTTAGTACAGACATTTTTTTTTTTTTACCCTGCTAAGACTGAAACTCTTCTTGGGTCTATAGTTATCAATGAAACAAAAAGACAAATAGGATCAAATGGGCTCATAATTAGAATACAAATGTTATTCCTGCTTACAGTGGGCTGATAGACTATGACCTCCACCTCTTCTTCATGAATAATTCAAAACCATCCACACTCAACAGTTACTGGCCACCCTTCTCATTTCGCCCCAGGGATGATGTGATCAATAGCAGATACCCTAGTTTTCTATGTGTATGCATATTTGTGTGTGCTGTGTGTGTGTGTGTGTGT